ATCGCTCCGCATAGCAACGCACTGGGCCAAGGCCCGGAACAAACAAGCCCTTATGTAACGCACACAATGGGGGCTCTATACAAAGCGGGCGGCGTGGCCGCAAAACCGAAGGGTCAATGGAGGTTGCTTGTGAGGGCTAGACTCGCCACGGGACACCCATTTTATGGGGTTTAGGCATTCAGAAAAAAAGATATGAATTTTTAAAGATTTTTGAAAACAAAAATATGAAAAAACTGCCCGGCAGCGCATGTAACGGTTAAAAAAAGCATCCGGCAGCAAGTGGTTAAGATGTTAGTAGCTCTGGAACGAACTCCTGGTCACTTTTGCTTGAGCAGCCATAGTGGTCAGTTGGTGAAGAAATAAGTCTGTCTTTTTTGCTAAAGCAATTTTACTAGCAGTTATGCCCCACACTAGTGCCAAGCGACAGGCTCCTTCTGGGCCAATGGATGGAGTGAAGCCTTCTCAGGGATGGCCTCATGAGCCTTCCCGTCAGGAGGTGCCAGTGGCCGGGGATCTTGTAGGCTCTAGTGCACCGCGTCACGTATTGCCCTGTCCAGAACCACTCTTGTGCCATTGGCTACCGGAGGAATGATCCCTGGGAGTGCGAATGATGGGTCTACCCATACTGCCCTGGCACCCTCTGCCATCAGTCGGCCTGGAGGGTGTTCGATGCAGACTTTGGAGCTGGCTAATTCCCCTGTTGCTACTCCTTTTGAATTAGCCCCACAATCTATGCTCTCAGTCACTTCTTCCAGTTTCCCATCCATGGTATCGAGAACTCCGGCCCCAAGCACAAAGAAATATGACAATTTATTCAATAATAATAGGAGTAATAATACATCTTATCCGGGCTCTACTTACAACTCGCATCTAGCTCCACCCCTGAACATGCTATGCCTGGGGGCGTCTCGTTTCCGTATTAGATACAGCTTGTTCATTTTCCCTCCCATTCAGGCCTACGCCTCTGCCTTGATCTGTCCAGTTTTGGGAAAACCAGGTATGCAGGAACTACTTGTACAGCCTGGGTCACACTTACTAAACGCTGACCACGGCTCAAACAACCGCTACACTATGCATCAGACCATCAGCTGGCACCCAAAATTCCTGTGCCGAGGGTCAGCTAGGTGGGAAATACAGAAATCTGCTCTCTGGGCGTCCTTCCATCATTTTATGGAGCTGTCCTGGTGAACAAATGTGATACGATTAGCATACCATGCGTCTTTTATTCTGACCACCGGTCTCCTGT